CTCGGAGGGGGTTCGCACAGGGACAGGGCTATCAGCCAGGACAGTATCAGTTCCCAGATAGGAACAGGTCGCGTCCCCCAAATAAGCAGCCATTTCACTGGGGGAGCAATCACTCCTTTTGCCGCCACCGCTGACTCAAAGGACAGGGCTTCCATTGGTGGCCGACTAAGTCTTTTTGCAGACTAATGGGAGCAGACCACCACAGATGCGTGGACACCATAACATCCAGTCTCTCCATGGAATTCCTCGTACCCCCCCCTAAGGTTTTTCATCCATTGCCCTACATCACGGGATGCAGCCAAAAGATGGCTCATAGATACAACCATCCAAATTTACTGGACATAAAGGCAATGGAACCCATTCCAATAGAACAGCGGGGGCACGGGTATTATTCCATGTTATTCATCATCCAAAAGACCTGGGGGGGGGAGTTTCCGACCGATTCTAAACCTCAAGGGCCTGAACAAATATCTGAGGTATCGGAGGTTCAAGATGCATTCTCTACAATCAATCTTGGACAATGTCCGGAAGGGAGACATCTTCACCTCCATCGACCTCATGGAAGTGTATTTACACATCCTGATTGCCCCACACTACAGGCAGTACCTGAGATTTTGCTACAAGATCAAACATCTCCAGTACTGAGCACTCACGTTTGGTCTCGCATCAGTGCCCAGAGTGTTTACAAAGATCTTTGCAGCGCTGGGGGCTTCACTCAGGGCCAGACCTGTCCAGATACAAACCTACCTGGATGACATTCTGGTCCAATCGACATCACACGAACGAGTGGAAGTGGACTTAGGGGTCACAGTACGCTGACTGCAGGCCCATGGCTTCTCAATCAATGTGGGGAAAAGCCATCTCATGCCGACAAATCGCCTGTTACATCTGGGGACGATAATCGATACTGTAAGCTGTCAGGTTTTCCTGTCCCCAGAGAGACTGGAGAGCATCAGGAGCATGATAACCTTAATTCGCTCAACCAGAGTAGTGTCACTAGCCATACTGTCAACCATATTAGGCAAAATGATTTCTTGCATAAAGGTAGTGCCTTGGGCAAGGCTCCATGCACAACCTCTGCAGTGGTTTCTCCTGCCATTTCAGAGGTCGGTCTGGGGCAATTCCCCGGCCAGAATCCAGGTCCCATTGGTGGTCTTGACATCCTTCTTCTGGTGGGCATCCAGTCACATGGAAGGAGGGTGTTTTTTCAGGGACCAGAACTGTCTGTTGGTCACATCAGATGCCAGTCTGGACGGCTGGGGTGCCTATTGTCAAAATTTGGTGGCCCAAGGGACGTGGTCAAGGACAGAGTCACAACGGAGCATAAATTGGCTAGAACTGAGGGCAGCATGCTTGGCTCTCAGAGAATTCAAGGCCCAGATTGCAGCCCATCACATGCTTCTATTGACTGACAACGTAGCCGCCAAGGCTCACGTAAACCGACAAGGAAGTACACACTCCAGGTCACTGATGGAGGAGGCGAGGCTACTCTGTCGCTGGGCGGAGAAACACTTGATATCCATCAAAGCGGAGCACATTTCTGGCTTGAACAATGTACAGGCAGATTGGCTGAGCAGGGCCACCATCGACCATTTGGAGTGGTGCCTGCTGCCGGAATTGTTCGAGATTGCAGTTCGATTCGGTCAGCCGATCATAGATCTTTTCGCATCACTGGTGAACAGTCAACTGCCTTGCTTCTTCTCCAGATTCCCAGCACGGGGCGGAGGGAGTCAACACCTTTCGTTGTCCTTGGCCCCAGGGTCTTCTTTACGCATTTCCGCCTATGGTGCTGATACCATGGGTGATCACTCAAATTTTAAGAGATAAGGCAGAAGTGATTCTCATAGCCCCACATTGGCCCAGATGTCCGTGATTCGCTGATCTGGTCAGCCTGTCGATTGCCACACCGTGGAGGATTCTGCCCAACAGGATCTCCCTCAACCAGGGTCCCATCTATCATCCGGATCCACAATGGTTTCATTTGACTGCGTGGCAGTTGAGAGGAGACTTCTGAAAAAGCGGAACTTCTCTGGCATTATTCGGACGATACAGGCTGCCAGGTGACCGCCCACAACATGAATTTATGATGCCACTTGGTGGGCCTTTTGTGTGTTGTGCACCAGATGGAACATTGAGGCCACCAGGGTCTCTGTTCCACAATTGTTAGACTTTCTTCAAACCAGTCTGGAGAAGGGGTTGGCCCCGTCGACTACATAGGCAGGTAGCGGCTCTGGCTTCAGTTTTGTCCTGCGGAGTGAGTGACTTGATAGCGCAGCACTCAGAGGTACGGAGGTTTCTAAGAGTGGTCACCAATTTAAGACCTGTGGTGGTTCATCGGTATCCTACTTGGGATCTCTCTAAAGTATTGCAGGCATTCAATAGAGCTCCTTTTGAACCACTTAGGACTGTCCACCTGACTTTTTTAACATATAAGGTGGTTTTTCTCGTGGCCATAACATCGGCCAGGAGAATATCGGAGCTGCCCACACTCTCAGTGAGGGAGGAATTATGTGTTTTTCACACGGATCGAATTGACTTGCGGCTGGACCCTGCCTTTCTACCCAAAATCAACTCCTGGTTTCATCGGGCACAGGAGTTGGTTTTGCCGGATTTCTGCCCCAATCCATCTCACTCGAGAGAACGCATATTGCAAACTCTGGATGTGCGCAGGGCCTTGCGCATCTATATAAAGAGAACGCAGGCCTTCCGGAAAACGAAGGCATTTTTTGTGTCCTATTTTCCAGCCACGATGGGGCAGAAGCTTTCGGCTTCCACAGGTTGCTCCAGGCGACGATTGCCAGAGCTTATGATATACAATCCTTGCCGAAACCTAGGGCAATTACTTCCCACTCCACCAGACATGCGGCGACCACAGCAGCCTGGGTGAGATGGGCTTCGGTGGATCTGCCGGGTGGAGACCTGGACGACTCCGTCGCCATTTATATGCCATTACCTGCTGGACTCCTGCGCCTCGGCGGAGGCCACATTTGGCAGGAAAGTCCTACAGCGGGTTCTAGAGACGCCCAACAACCAGGAACAGACAGGTACCCACCCGTGAGGATGACCTGCTTTGGTAAGTCCCATGCCTGGAGTCTCGAGTCCCCTATCAGGAAAACGGGTGTTGGTCCTACCTGACACACCCCTTTTCTGAAGGCGAGGAGAGACTCCAGCCCCACCCTAAGAGGGATATGGTCAGGGGAGCCTTGGAGTGTTGTTGCAGGTGCTGCATCCTGGAATATTGTGAGGATTTCGTGGAAACTGGGAGAGGCAGCAGAGGGGACGTCTCTTCAAGTTACAACCCAGCCTGTATAGCTAGAAGACAGAGTAAATCCCATGCCTGGAGTCTCTCCTCCCCTCCAGAAAAGGGGTGTGTCAGGTAGGACCAACACCTGGTCTCTCTGCGTCATTGAGCTTTTGAACACGTAGGTGCAGGGCAGTAATTGTCCTCTGTTGTTCCTTTGTAGAAGTACTGCAGCCACCGCCACATCGCTGACGTTGCCTTGTATGATGAATTGCTGCTCTGGATCTGGGTGCTGGGAAAACAGTCTCTTTAGGTTCTCAAAGACTTTTGGCAATCCATTGTCCAAGCAATTGGTTGTGTCGGCTTTTGCTTCATCAGCGGGGACCCTGTTTTCAAAAGTTCAGTTAGGGGTAACCACAAAAGCTGGGATGAATTGCCTATAGAAGTTAGCGAACCCCAGGAAGCTCTGAAGTTCCCTGTGGGTGCATGGAGGTTGCCAATCAAGAACTGCTTTCACTTTCCCTGGGTCCATCTCTACGTCTCCGCTGGAAATTCAGTAGCCCAAGTAGTCTAGGGAGGTTTTGTGAAACTCGCACTTTGACAGCGTCGCGTAAAAATTGGTGGCAAGGATTTTTTTCAGCACTTGCCGGATAAGTTTCACGTGCTCCTCCAGGGTTTCACTGACTATGAAAATGTCATCTAAGTAAATGAGGACCCCCTTATACAGATGCTCATGTAGCAGTTGGTTAATGAATTGCATGAACACCATGGGGGCGCCAGTCCAAATGGCATTACTTTAAATTGGAAATTGTCAAGCGGGCAGTTGAAAGCAGTCTTCACTCATCCCCCTCTCTGATCCTTATGCGGTATTAGGCTTCCCTTAACTTCAGTTTGGTAAATAACTTGCCCTTCGACAAATTGTTAAGCATGTCTTTCATGAGGGGGAGAGGGGAGGTGTTTTCCACGCACATGGCATTGATTTCACGAAAATCAATGCAGAGCTTCACCCCCCCCCCCATCCTTTTTCTCTTTGAAGAGCACCAGGGCCGCCACTTTGGATTTCGCGAGCTGGATGAAACCTCACTCCAGATTGGCATCTATGTATTTCCTCAATTCCTCAATCTCTTTTGGAGTCATGGAGTACATTTTCGACTTGGTAATTTAGCCTCTGGCACAAACTATCACACAGGTTGGTCGAGTGGTGAAGGGGGAGGAAATTGCAGTCCTCTTCACTAAAAAAACCCCATAAGTCTTGATACTCCGTGGGCACTTGCTGGCTGCCAGGTAGGGCATCTCGGTCTGGGCTGCAGGTTCCAGCGCAATAGTCTCCTTTGGGGTGGTGAATTCTGGGTATAGTCCTGCCTTACAGGTGGCAATGGCCCAATGCCAATGACTTGTTTCCTGTAGCTGCCATCCCAGGAGATGGTGGGGCCCCACTTATTGACCCATGCGAGTCCCAATATGACTGAGTCGGTCATCTTTGGGGCGACCATGAACTGGAGGAGTTCCTGATGGCGCCCCATATCTAGTCTGACGAGCTCAGTGACCAACGTGGCAAGGGCCCCTCCAATTAGCATTCTCTCGACTTGCTCAAAGCTGATGGGGTGCACCAAGGGCCTTGTGCGTATGCCCAACTGTTCAACTATGGGGAGACTGATTAGGCATTGCGTGCAACCAGTGTCTATGACGGCTTCTACTTCCCCGTCTCTGGGACTGCTAATGTAATTTTGAGGGCAAAGGGGCGGGTGGCTCCACTTACCATTGGGTTGTTGCCACTGCTTTTCCTTGGGGACACTGGAGGAGATCTGTTGGCCAGAGTTCCCTCTGCTTAAATGGGCAGGAGTGGGACTTCTGCAGCGTGTTTGACGTTTCGTCCTTTGTTCTCTGATTCCTGCGGGGTTTTCCTTGCTCCAGTTTGAGCAGGAGTTGGCTGGAGTTGAGGGCTGTTATCTACAGATCAAAGAGAACTACAGTTGACAAATAAGTCTTTTTGATGGGTAGGGTTTTACACCACTATACACTTTCAATTAGGTTTTGAATAGAGAGCCTTAATCAGGAGTATGCGTTTGGGTTCCATGTTTAATGTGGCTAATTTCTTCCCAATAATGTTTCTATTATGGAATTAAAAACCACATTTGAGATCTTTGAAGGCAGTAAACAGTTTGTCAGGGTTCCAAGTAACACCCCCAATGAAATCAAACTCCGAAGCTTGAAGTTCCTCAACACTAACTTTTATTAGAGATGTCATATTGGCACAGCTGGGAAAACCTGAATCTGAGAGCTTCTGGGTTTTCCACACCCAAAATTAAGTTCAACACCTTGCCCCTCACCCACATGTCCACCACACATCCAATCAGGTACCGTCCGGAACAGAAGATAGCTCCTCATCCTTCTCAACACAGCTGCAGGGCACAATGGCCTTGACTTTCTATAATTTTATTTTTCCTACATATCTTCTTCACTCTATACAATCCCCCCTCCCAATTTCCCACAGTAGAATTTATGGCAGGCCTGAAGCCTGAAGGCACAAAGGTAAAAAGATGGCTTCCAGGTCTGACAGAGTTTCTTGTTTTTAATTACTCATTTCGTTATGAGAAGGTATAAAACAAAACATTTGTCTATTATGGAGCGCTCTGATCTAAATTGCAGTTTGTTCTTCCAGTAAGGAGATTTCTTTTTTCCATCATTAAGTCTACTGTTTTACTCAAAAAGTATTTTGCACTCATCTTAACCATGATTCTAAGAAGACTATAGGTCTATAATATTTTGGATCACCCTTGCCTCTTTTTTTATATATGGAGAACCCAGGCAGGATGCAACCGGTATTATTTATATGGGAGAGCAGCTCAGCTAACAACGGGGCTCACCAATCAATATCTGTCCTAAAAAGCTTTAAGAGTAGAAAATCTTTAGGTGCCTTATTCAGTTTCACAGATTGAATAGTGGAATTTTTGATAGTGATGACACTGGAGATGGGTAGGGGAGGTTTTCAAATCCTAATGGGTAAATGATTTGCTTATGTAGAAGGCTCTGGTTAGAAATAGCAAATTGTGTTCGCTTTTTGATGGACAGATTCTAGGATAAGAGATTTTATAGAGTTATCAACCAGTTTGTATGTTATATGTCATTAAATGAGGAACAGCTCTCTCTAAAGTGGGGAATAATTTGCTCAATCTGTTTAATTCAAAAGTTACAGATTTTTATTTATAATTAACAGAACATGTAGGCATGCATATTAGAAAATAAAAATGCAACTGGATTAATATATCAAAAGCGTAGCAGATGAACTTATTTCTAATGGTCCATCTAAATTTTCTTTTGTTGGGTGTAGTTCCCATGGCAATGCCATTTGTAATGAACCTTTATTGTGGAAAGACAGGACAGAATTTGTTTTGTATAGAGTTTTGATTTGCAACTAGATGGATTACAGCCATTTGCTTTATTTTAAGGAAAAGAAAATGAATCTTAAATTACTCTGATTGTCCTTGAATTTGCATTTTCCCTAATCAAAAGAACCAATTATTATGAACTTGCTGCAAGACAAGGGAATAATAAAAAAGAACCCCATATGGCTTTATTATTGTGCAGGTAATCATGGAATTTTGTCATCTTTTAATAAAGGGGACAAGTCAAATTATGTTGATTTGAATGAAAGGGATGGTTGAAGTGAACAGCAGTATAAACTTTGAAGAATAGAATCTTAACCTGAATATTACAGCTGGCAAAGAAAAAGAGCTGCTTCATGAAGCTTTGGCTGCTTTGTGGATTAGACCTATGATGATGCCTTTAGAGCGGTGCTCATCTCCATTTCTTAGCTGAGGGAGCCAATGTTGTCTGAAGACCTTTCTGTGGTCATGTGGCCAGTATAACTAAAGTCAAAGGCGCAGAGAATACAATAATGAAAGTTAACTGGTTGTATCACTTGATTCACAGATATATTTGGGCCCATTGGCAGTCTGACATTTATGTCCTTTGGCAATGTATTAATATCAAGATGTTAACATGTACAAAATACAGTTGGTTTCCAATACTGCATTCAAAATGTATTGAATGTATCATTGTCATGCACTCATTCAGTTTCTAAACTTGAATAAATTCCATGAATGCATGATTGTGTGTTCCTCTAGATGAGGATATGTTTTTAAAATGTGCAACTTCGTTAGCTGTGCTAATTTTGCAGATATCCAAACAGAGAATTATGTTAGCAGATAGTAAATCATAATGCAGGTAATAGTATCTTAGATTTGCCACTCAAAGTGATCTTATTTTATTGTGATCAATAGATAATTTAAATACAGGTACTCCTTGACTTTCAACCACAATTGAGCCCAACATTTATGTTGCTAAGTGAAAAATTTGTTCAGTGAATTTTGTCCATTTTATGAGTTTTCTCGCCACATTTGTTCACTGCAGTTCTTAAATTAGTAATAGAGTTGTTAAGTGAATCTGGTTTCCCCATTGACTTTGTTTGTCGAAAGATCGCAAAAGGGGATCACATGATTCCAGGACACTGCAACTGTCATAAATGTGAGTCAGTTGCCAAGCGTCTTAATTTTGATCTCATGATCATGGGGATGCTGTGAAAAATAGTCATGTTACTTTATTCAGTGCTGTAGTAACTTCGAATGGTCATTAAATGAATTGTTGTAAGTCAAGGACTACCTGTACTCACAATTTAACTTCTATAAAAGAAGTAAATATTCTTCATGTATATTTTTATTTTTATTTATTTATTTTTTATTTATTAGATTTTTATACCACCCCCTCTCCCGAAGGACTTGGGGCGGTGCACAGCCAAAGTTAAAAACATACAATATAAACAATTAAAATACGTTTAAAACAGAATTAAATCTAAAATGGCTCCCCAATTTAAAATGCCTTACCCATACCCCTATAAAAAGACGAATTTAAAATTTAAAAATTTAAAATTTCCACATTTAAAAAGGGGGAAGATTTAGGCCAGGCCAGCTTGATAAAATAGAAAAGTCTTAAGTGCGCGGCGGAAGGTGCGCAGATCCGGGATCCTACGTATCTCCGGGGGGAGCTCGTTCCAAATCGTAGGTGCCCCCACAGAGAAGGCTCTCCCCCTAGGGGCCGACAGCCGACATTGTTTGGCCGACGGCACCCGGAGGAGCCCCTCTCTATGGGAGCGTACTGGCCGGTGGGAGGCTATTGGTGGTAGCAGGCGGTCCCGTAAATAACCAGGTCCTGAGCCATGGAGCGCTTTAAAGGTGATAACCAGAACCTTGAAGCGCACTCGGAAGACCACCGGGAGCCAGTGCAGCTCGCGCAGGAGAGGTGTCACATGGGAACTCCATGTCGCTCCCATCACCACCCGCGCGGCCGCACTCTGCGCCAGTTGGAGCCTCCGAGTGCACCTCAAGGGGAGCCCCATGTAGAGAGCATTGCAGTAATCCAGACGAGAAGTAACGAGGGCATGAGTGACTGTGTGTAGGGAGTCCCGATCTAGATAGGGACGCAACTGGCGGATCAGGCGAACCTGATGAAAAATCCTCCCGGACACGGCCGTCACATGCTCTTCTAACGACAGCCGTGAATCCAGGAGGACGCCCAAGTTGCGAGCCCTATCCGTGGGGGCCAATGATTCGCCCCCAATAGTCAGCGATGGCATTAGCTGACTATATCGGGACGTCGGAAACCACAGCCACTCGGTCTTGGATGGGTTGAGCCTGAGCCTGTTCCTCCCCATCCAGATCCGTACGGCCTCCAGGCACTGGGACATCACTTCAAGGGCATCGTTGGGGTGATCCGGGGTGGAGATGTACAGCTGGGTGTCGTCAGCGTACTGATGGTACTCCACCCCAAAACCACGGATGATCTCGCCCAGCGGCTTTACATAAATGTTGAACAAAAGGGGCGAGAGGACCGATCCCTGCGGCACCCCACATATGAGGGGCCTCGGGGTCGACCTCTGCCCCCCTGTCAACACAGACTGCGACCGGTCGGAGAGAAAGGAGGAGAACCACCTTAGTACGGTGCCTCCCACCCCCAACTCTTCCAACCGGTGCAGCATGATACCATGGTCGATGGTATCAAAAGCCGCTGAGAGATCTAACAGGACCAGGACAGAGGAACAACCCCTGTCCCGAGCCCTCCAGAGATCATCAACCAACGCGACCAATGCCGTTTCCGTGCTGTATCCAGGCCTGAAACCCGACTGGAACGGATCCAGATACGACGCTTCATCCAGGTACTGGGGAAGCTGTCCCGCAACCACACTCTCAACAACCTTCGCCACAAAACGAAGGTTGGAGACTGGACGATAATTAGCCAATATTGCCGGGTCCAGGGAAGGCTTCTTGAGGAGGGGCCTCACCACCGCCTCCTTAAGGGCGGCGGGGAAGACACCCTCACCCAATGAAGCATTTATAATCCCCTGGAGCCAGCCTCGCGTCACCTCCCGGGAAGCCAGCACTAACCAGGAGGGACACGGGTCCAACAAACATGTGGTCGCGTTCAATCTACCCAGAATCCTGTCCACGTCATCTGGGGTCACAGGATCAAACTCATCCCAGATAACAGTCTCAAGACCTGCCTCCGTCACTCTCGCTGGATCTACCCAGTCAGAGTCCAGACCTTCCCGAATCTGAGTGATTTTGTCATACAGATACTGAACAAAGTCCTTGGCTCTTCCCTCCAAGGGGTCCTCCCGCGCTTCCTGGTGGAGCAGGGAGCGGGTCACCCTAAACAGGGCGGCCGGGCGATTATCTGATGACGCAATAAGAGCAGCAAAATGCGTACATTTTGCTGCTTTTATCGCCACTAGGTAAGTCCTAATATGGGATCTAACCAGTGTCCGGTCCGATTCAGAAAGACTAGCTCTCCAACTACTCTCTAGGCGTCTTTTCCGGCGCTTCATCTCCCTCAGCTCCTCGGTAAACCAAGGAGCAAGGCGAGATCCGCGCCGGGTCAGAGGCCGCAAAGGCACG